GCTATTATAAACTTTGAATTCTAAAATCTTACTGTCATAATTATAGAAAAAACTCAAGTTATAATTTTTTTAGAAGAAGAGGAAAAACTATTTCGTCAAAAAAATTAAATAATTGAAGTTATCAAAACTTGCGACACAACACCATTAATTTTTGTTTCTTAAATAAATGCCAATTACCTTTACTTAATCTGTTTCATTGAAAACCTTATTTGCTAATCAATTATTTTTCCCGTAGTCGAGCAACTTTCGTGAAATAACTTTAAACCATTCGTTAATATATCCTTATAGGCAATACATTCTTTCACAAAAGGGCCGTGCAAAATCTTCATGAACTCAAAAACTAATCACATTTGCTTAACTCCGTCGAAGCCTTGCCTCGTAAATTAACTTTTCCGTGGTACTACCTCCGAAGCCATTTTTCGTTAACAAGTCATTCCACTGCTCCCTTTTATTTCATTAACCTCCAATTAAAGAGCTTTATATACGGAAATACGCAATCATGCGCCTTTGACTAGTACCACTAGTACCTAGAGCAGCAGATAAATATAAAGTTTTGCCCAGAAAAAGAACATTCGTCTAATGCATCGGCAACCCCTTTTAACGTTCTCTAGTAATTCAGTTAAACGTTCTAGAGGAAGTTAGCTTCATTACTGGTAATTTTAACCCTGTAATTAAATATCCACCCAATAGGATATTGCTTTGGAACAAACAGCGACGACATCGACATCCTTTCGATTTAGTGCCGACATTCCCGGAGTCATCAAAGTTTTTTTTTTCTGTTGTTTTTAATTAGTTTTCTTATCGATTTTTTTTTGTCTTCCATGTATGCGTGTTCTTAATGAGCAGCAAAATATTGATAATTGTGAAAAAGAAAATATAATGCACATTTTCTCGTTTTTCTTCATGAAATCCTGTACACGAATCACGTTGTTTTTACACAGCGGAAATCAATCAACCAGGGATAGAAGGGAAGGATATTAAACATGTATTGTCTTTCTTACTGTAATTATTTCGAAAATATGTTGTTTTTCTATAGACATAAAATATAATATAAATGTAAGAACACTATTTCAAATTATGCTTGTCTATACCAGGCGTCCTAAAAACAAAATAAAACTTATAAAATCGATTAAAAAAATCATTAAAGAGAAAACATGCACCTTGCTGCACTCTGCTTCGGAAACTACATTCCATTTTATGTAAATTTGAAAAGTTTGTCAAAATGCTAAGAGGTGGCGCTGTTTTTATTTTTTAATCAGTGTTGAACAGCCGACCCAATTCTGAGTTCACGACTATCTCTATCCATCTAAAAAACCATGTAATTTTGAACCAACGCTGAAGACAAGGAATCTTGGATCTAGCATTGGGACAAACTGTCCTTTGAGGAGGACTTTTTGATGGAACTAAACCGCAGTTGCGTTACATGGAGAAGAAAGCTATGAAAACCTCTCTAAGTTAGCACGAATAAAAAGGATTCTAAACCATGATCGGTTTACCACTGAGAATATTTTTAAGTTGGCACAATAATAGGTGCTAACCGAAAGCGAAATTCACATCACCCAGTCACAGCCTGGATTCGAACCTGGGTACCTCATTGAGAGGTAAACGTGCTGTATCCCTTAGCTACCACAGCTCGGTACTGTTTATATTTTACTTTATAACCGTCGTTGAACAGCCGACCCAATTTTGGATTTACGCCTACCAATGTTCAACTCTGTAGCCTGGTAATTTTGAACCCGATCCAGATTTAATCCAATCAAGTATTGGCAGAAATTTGTCTTCGTGGAGGATTTTTTGATGGAACATACCCGTATTTGCGTTACATGAAGAAGAAAACCATGGAAACCTCCAACGGTTATCATGACGGCAAGATTATATTATAACATCATATTCTATTGATAATCTTACTAAAATCATTACCAAAGTACTTCGGTAAAAATTACCGAAATTTTTGGTGTCCCTATAGATCCAGTAACAGGGCAAATTTTACCAAATTCTGAAAGTTTTGACCATATGTTTTTCTCAGTGCATATTTTTTTGAATCGAACAAAAAATATTCCTGTTTTATCATTAAATTCGTTATAACAATCAGCTATATTTACATAAATACGTTTCTTGTTGTGTTTTCTGCAAACAGAGTACCGCAAATATGCCGTTTGGTTATTGCTTTTATAAAATCTGAAGTAACTCAGCGCAAACGTTTTATGCGACAAAAATGCTGCAATTCTTACATTAAATTTATTATAATGCTTAATTTAAACAAACAGTATCCTTGCTTAACTGACTCAGTGTAAGTTGAATCTCAATAAATATATTTCTCATCAAAGTTTTGTTTGTTGAAAAGTCTGCAATTTTTAATTTGACTCATTTTTGATACCTCTAAATTCAAACAAAAAACAATTCTTTAACAACCGTAAAATACACTATAACGTTTAGTACAATTTGTGTCTTTAATAAAAATATTTCTTGTAAGGTAAGCAAAACTAACAACATATTTTGTGCCTTTAAAAAATATAGATTGGAATTTAAAATCCCTCCATCCATATCCCCAGTATAACCTATGCTTAAATGACGCATTTTTAGCGTTCGCGTATTTTAAAAGTATTTAATCCTATTTAACTAAGCTATCTCCTTAAAAATAAATGCTAACATATTGATTGGACTAATGAGCATGCTCGAAGCTCTTTATATAAACAGAAAAACAGCATCTCGATTAAACAAGGTGATTATACGAGGGAAAAATAATCCCTTTCTGCTAACAAAAAGTTTGCTCAATTTTGGGGAATTTCTTAAAATATGTTCTCTGGAGTATTAAGAGATGTAAGTGGGGATTAAGACGGAGACTTGTTGCGAAGTTTTTGTTTTTATTTTTATCTGAAGATATTCTCGAGTTTAATATTTTACGAGAAATTAAGTAAATATCAGATCTAGAAGGAAACTCTTTTTTGATATTTTGGCAAGCCTAGAAAGTAAATTTTTCTTGTATTTTGTGAATAAATTTGTAACTAATTAATATTTAGAGCATGATGAATAATTTATTGTCAAAAACCTTGTCTTTCAAAGTTACTGTCGAAGATATTACTTTTTACAGATACTATGTGAGTTTCCACTTAATAATAATTTTGATAATCCTTTTAATAGTATAACATAAAAGAGGAAAAAATATATTTATGTAGGTACCGTTATCAAACGTAAGAGAAAAAAAAATTATAAATGGGAAAAAATATATTTTACTCGTAACGAAATTTGTAGAATGTTTTACAACGAACATTTTTAATTACAAAAATATTTTCTTAGCAGTGTAATGCAAGCTAAAATACTAAAATAACGTCCTTTTTTAACAAAATTAATTTACACAAATTTTTAAACAATGAAAAAATGATGTCTTAATCCGTAGGCTTTAAAAACACGTAGAGTTGTGTAAAAAATGGTAAACGCTTCAATATAAAACAAAATAAAAACTTGTATTTTCCGAACTTTCTCCGTATAGTTAACGGTTTTGAGTTGCTGTGTTAACGAAACGGTTTTTTACAGTTCACCCTAATCATGAACAAATTAAAGTCGCCAGTTCAAATTCTAGTTTTTACAACATCGTTTTGTTTACCGAACGATAAATTTACCTTTTCTCAAGTAATTTTACAAGAATTTTCAGCACTTCCTTTTTACTTTTCATATTCTTTTATGATTTTGAATAGTGTATAAACAAAACGTCATTCGACTTTATTGCTAATTTGATACTCTATCTGATGTTAATCTTTCTTTCGATGCATTGTTTTTGTAAGTTAAGTTACGAATAGCATCATGGTGGACACCTATAATTTTATCTTCTTTTCAAATTTGTAATACTTAAAATGTGTAATGCATTAAAATAAGAACAGTGTCAAAGTCTTTTTTGTTTCACGGGGGGAGGGGCATTAGACTCGAGAAGGTTTAGTGTTCAGAGCATTCGTCTCCCAATGAGGTGACCCGGGTTCAAATCCCAGAGATGAATAGAAGACACGACGTCTGTTTCTGGCTTGCACCGACTGCACTGTAAAAAATTTCAGAAACTAATTCTGACTCGACTAAAAATATGCTCCGTAACCTTGCAATTTCAAACCCTATCCAGAAGACAAAGGAACTCCTGGATCAAGTATTGGGAGAAATTTGCCTTTCGTGGAGATCATTTTGATGGAACTAACCCGCATTTGCGTTACATGAAGAGAAAAAACACGAAAACCTTCCATGGTTAGCCCTGTGGCAAAGGGACTCTAACCCATGATCCGTCTACCACTGAGGACATTTTATGCCCGCACTGTGGTCGGTAGAAGCCGGGTGAGGAATTCATATGGACCAGCCATCGCTGGGATTCGATTGTCGGTAGAGTAGGTAGTCTAGTTCTACATGGGCAACTCGCGGGCTTGATCTGAACACGCCTGCCTCGACCAAACGTCTTACCTCGACTAAAGCATTCCCATTGATTTGAGCACACCTAGTTCAATGAATGGTTTACACTGAAATGTTGACTTCTTATTTGTGACTGCGATATTGTCCTCCTCACACAAGCTTGTATCCTAAACAACCGTTATGACTACGGCTTTACATCGTACGTTTTAGGGTTTTGCGCAAACACCGTTTCTGGTAGTAATTTTACTGTAAATTTTACGGGCTTCTTTCAGTATGTATTTGAAACCTTGTTTATACTTTGTAACCTATACTTTTAACTATANTACTGTAAATTTTACGAGCTTCTTTCAGTATATATTTCAAACCTTGTTTATACTTTATAACCTATACTTTTAACTATATATATATATATATATATATATAAACTGTACTGAAAAATCCTGACATTCAGTAAATTTTTTATAATGATATTAACATAGAGCTAGCTACATTAGTCAGAACTTTAAAATGATAAACGTTAATAGTTTTATATACTTTACATAAAATTTCAAACATTTAATTTTTATACTTTACAAATATTTTTGTATAATTTTGCATGCTTTTTTTTTCTATAGGTGTCCTGTAGAAGTAAAAATGATGCGAGAAGTAAGAACAATAGAACCACAAAGCAAATCTTTAGAAGGATATTTGGAAGCTTTCACCTTCACTGGTAGCACTACGCTTGAGTTAGAAGCAGAAGTTGAAACATGTTTAGAACATTGTAAACCGGTGAGCTATTTTACTAGATTAATTTTTTTTCTTTTGCGGTAATGTTAAATTTATATGTCTTACTTAAACTTGGTTTATTTAGGTCTATTAGCCATAAACGTTTTATAAACTAAGAAAATTATAAAATAATATTTCGGCGTTAATATTGAAAATTAGGTATTCTTTAGTCCTAGTGTTCATTGCCAATAATGTCGCATTATTTTTTCTCTCTTTTTAAGTTTTCACCATATTTGAGGTTTTTAAAAAAAATCGATTCTGAAAAATTTTTCTAAGATTATAATCATTATTACCAGGATGTTAAAATTTAATTTTTCTTTCATGATATATGCCTACTGATACAATAAAAGGACAAGAAGCTTGAAGAAATTAAAAATTAATTCAAAACGCTGAATCGTTTACACAAATCCCAAACAAATAAATTTAATTTTTCTTTATTCAACCTTATAAAACTATAGATAAAGAAGTTTACGATGGACATGATAAAGCTAAATTCATTGCAACAAAAATGGAGCTGAACATTTAGAATAATAACTTAAGATAAAACCTACGTTAGTAATTTATAGCGATAATTACAGAGATTAACGTAAAATAAAAAAGCAGATTTAATGAATATAAGCTACCAATAATTTTTAACATAGTTTAAGTCATAAGCTGATTTTAATTATTTTTATTTTATAACCGTCGTTGAACAGCAGACCTAATTTTCTGGTTTACGACTTCTCATCTTCAACTCCGTAACCTTGCAATTTTGAACCCAATCCAGAAGACAAGGAAACTCATGGATCAAGTATAGGGAGAAATTGGCCTTCGTGGAGGACTTTTTAATGGAACTAACCCGCATTTGCGTTACATGGAGAGCAAGACCACGAGAACCTTCCACGGTTATAGACTGACCGCAAAGGGACTATAGCCCATGATCCGTCAACCACTGAGGATATTTCACGTCAGCACCGTAGTCGGTGCAAACCGGATGAGGATTTATATCGACCAGCCATCGCCGGGATTCGAACCCGGTTCACCTCATTGGAAGGCGAACGCCCTATCCCCGGAGACTTCGCGGCTCAATTCATAAGCTGATTGAATTATTCATTCGTCGACATTTTGCAAAAAGCTAAACTAATTAGAAAACTTTCCAGTATTTTCTATTCAGTCTGGCATTTTTATGCATATTGCATTGAGTTCATTTAACTTTAGGTTAATTAGAAAATATACCATTCTCATCTCCATTATCCAGATTTATAATGTGTAGTTTGCGGTATGCAAAAAGATGTGAAAGATTATAGTATACGGTCTCATTCAAATTTCATTACAATAAGTCTCAGAAAATTCAGTCTGATTAAGTTGGACGTCTCTCATTTCTTAATTAGTTTAAGGGCCTATAAGCTGATTTTATAAAGCATAAAAAATACTGAAGATTCCTCAAACTAGTCTCGCACTTAGCAAAATTGCAGCAAGATTTGTAAAGAGCTCAATTTTTCAATTCGTAAAGCTACTTGGAGAAAAAAAATTCTGGTTAAATTAATGGTAATTGCATTACTGGTAAGGAAAACCATAATCCTGGTAATAAAAACCAAAATGTAAGGTCCATACTCCATTCATTTGGTAATTTTTCTATTCATATGGTAACGGTTAACCAGAAATTCTGGTTTTCAAAATTATAATTCTTAATACCACACATTTAGTAAAATCGTACAAAATTGGAATACAAAGCTGAAAATAATTGGTTTTTATGCCATGCTCAAAGGTATTAAGATAAAATTTCCAAATTTTTCATTACATATTATAAGCCAGTATTTGATTGCTAATTTTACCAAAATTATTATGGAATCGTTTCGAAAAAATTTATCGAGCTTTTTGGAGTTCTCTTAGAGCCTGAAACACGATAAATATTGCCATATTCAGGTAGTTTTGGCCATATTTTTTTTTAACTGCATATTTTTTTTTTTTTTTTGATAATACGAAAAAATATATATATATATATGTATTCCTGATTAACCGATAAATTCTTTTTAACACTCAGTATACGTTATATATAAGCAACATACGTTATATTTCTGTCACGGTGTTTATTTAGATGGCCAAAGCTAACAAATTAATTGAAATTTTGTACTTATATAAACGTCTTCTTGAGTTTTATACCTTAATGATTTGTGTTTAAAATTAATCTGATAAATTTACTAACAAAGATCATAACTTGCAATTCATGTCTTGCATTTTTAATATACTTTGCCATTTTTTCTCATACATAGTTAGTTTTAGTTAAATAATTTATCTATATTACTATCCAATAGGTATTGTGCCAAATTCCCACAGGAAGACGAGATGATGACATAGAAACAGTTTCTTCTTTTGGTCGTAAAAAGAGAGACGTCGATTCAGATGACGTATTGTCGACGGTAACTCTTACGAAAACAGTTGCTGTTTTATCCGAAGATTTTGGAAGCTTGAAATCATTTGCCACTGAAAACTATGCTTCTCCAGTAACTGCCCCTTCCCATATAGGTATGACTCTATAACTGATTTTTCAAGCCTTTTATTTGACATTTAAATAAAATAAAGATTTTTATTATAAATATGAGCTTATGATGGGATCAGATGGAAACAAGAGAGTAAATCTTGATAATTTTAAGTTTAATTTTATTTATGTTGGCGCTTAATTCTTAGCAAATCATCTCACTTCTATCCCATCTTTGTTGATCTTAATCCATCTTAAGGAAATCGATATCCCCCCTACCTATATCACCCCTTCCTTTATAGGTATGACTCTAACTAATTTTTCAAGCACTTTCTTTCACATTTAAATAAAATAAAGATTTTTATAATAAATATGAGCTTATGACTGGATCACATGGAAACAAGAGAGTCAATTTTGATAATTTAAGTTTTTTTTTTTTTTTTTTTTTTTTTATATCAGCACTTATTTTTTACGAAATAATCTCACTTCTGCCCCATCTTTGTAAGGTAAAGTATTCTGTCTGGATTGGAGACTTGTCACTAACGCGGTTTCTTAGTTTCCACCAATTATCTCTTCGCAATTTTATCGCTTGCAACTATATCATTTCCTTGTTTCGAATCCTTTTTCTCATTCACGCGATGTCTTCCTGATGGAGAGCCTCATGTTCGATCAATCCCAACAGGTTGATCTTGCATCTGTTTAAAATATTTTAAAAAAAATTTTATTTCCTAAGTGCATATTTTAAAGTTTCTTGGCATTATTCGTTATATCTCTCTAAATTTTCATACATTCTAACAATGATATTTTCTTTCTTAAATTTCTAATCTATGTTTGGGAACATTCTTCTACCAAACTCTTCTTGCTAATTTTAACCAAATAATTTTATCTAAAATTTTTTTCTTGAACTTAACTTTTATTAACGAAAATATAATCAAAATACGAGAGTAAATTAGATGTACATAAATGAATAGATGAGATCTCCTGACATACATTTTACTTACGTCATTAGTAAAGAAAGTAAGATACAATTAGATACAATAAGAAGTAATTGTATCTAATTTTATCCAAGAAGTAATTCTATCTACACTTGTATCTACATTATTAACTTTGAAGGAACTGGGGTTACCTGTTTTCTGAAGATAGTCGAGGTATTGTGCGTAATGAATCCTCAGCAATCGGCCAGAGAGTAAATGAAGATTATTATTTGAGTTTTTTTGAAGCAGGTAACATTAAGGAGGTAGCTGAAAATGATCTGAAATGTAGCGAGGAAGCTTATGAGTATTTAATCACGATAACGCCCCACCTCACACTGCATTGATTATTCATAAATTTATGCGATTTATTCATAGAATACTGACTGTCTCGTGATCGCCGTATTCTCCATATCTTATGACTTTTTCTTATTTCTAAGGTTCAAATTTTCTTTTCCTGGTCAGTCATCATTTTGAGTCCATTAATTCGATAAAATGAGTCATTAATTCGCTACTCTTATTACCAAAAACGATTTTAACAGATATTTTAGAATGCTAGTATGCGGAACAGAATGCACTGACATTCATGATAGTTTCTTCAGGAGAGCCTTGCTATGCATTCTCCTCTTTTATTATTTTATGTATATCTATATGTACATGCACTATCTACCAATAAGTATTTGGACACCTGTGCAAGAAGTTATCTGTGGTTCTAACAAACACAGATTGGCATTAGTCGCATGCAAGATACAATGAAATTCAGAGCTGAAGTAACATTCTCCTTAATAGGAAGAAAATATCAATAACAGAATAAAAAAATATTAAAATTAATTAAGAAAATTTAAATTAAATTGTAAATAAAAACCTTTCAAATAGGTAATTATTATAGAGTTTAAATCACACACGTAAATTAGGAATAAAACATTTTATTGGTATTCCTTTTCTCATAGGGTGACTGTATATAAATCAGAGCCTGCATACATAGATAAAAAGTGGTTTATAGACTTTATCCTTCATTCATACATTCTTTCATAACAGTAAAGTCAATACGTATTATCTACATTCATATGTACACTACGTAAAATACAATATATTTTTATTAAAATGTATAGCTATAAACATTACATAATTAAACATAACATACATATTAATACACATTATAATGAATATATACGTTACAATGACATACATCTATTACAATCTAATCTAAACCTAATTTAGAACTTAGGAGCATATTTAATTCAACGAAAAGTTTTTAACCACTTTCTTCGTAAAATAATTAAACACAAATTAAAAGAAAGAGTAACTCTATCATAACTTGGTGGAGAAGTAATAAAAAATGCAAGATAAGCAAACGCTTTACATGACTTATAAATATTGCAATAAAAAGGCTTACATATTAAGTCTCAAGAAGTCAAATTAATGTAAAGATAAATTCTTTTGAAGGCATAATATTCAAAAGATTTAAATTTCATTATTTTATGCAGCGCAGTTATTCAAAATAGCGTTTGCTCATATTGTCATATATGACTGAATTAAATTTGGAAAAGCAACTAAATGCTCCTAAACTTTACAGAAATTTTAAATACTACACCCTTTTGATATTTATACACCCGCAGTTAAAATTAAAAGCATGAATAACTTTCCAACGTCATTAAATGAAAGTTATGCTAAATGCTCAATGCTAAAGTTTATGCTATAGTTTATGCTAAATGCTCAAGCTGTGTATGTCTTGTATTTGTCATGCTTTCTAAAGTATTATTTTAATGTTAACATTAATTTTAATAGTTTACACTATTTACGCAGGATATTATTAAAATATATTTCGTTCAACTATGTTTGTGAAATATATTTACTTTATTATATAGGAAAGGGTAAAAATTTTAAGATTTAATAATTTAATTTTAAAATTTAATGAATGAGACAAAGTTAAGTGGGTCAGGGAGAGAAGCTCCTCTTAGTGTTTTTTTTTTATTTATTTTTATTTTTTATAAATGCATCAGAGGGAGGTAATATTCGATAAACATTCGAATAGCTTTTTAGAACAATTCAGCACACAGCTATTTTTAAATATCGTTTTCTAAATTACCTAACTAAATGTTTCCTTTAAACAACATTATTTTCAGATTTGCATTTGTTTTTGTACTAATTTACTATTTAAAATGTGGCATTAGTGATTACTACCTAAGAGTTTAGTGTTGTGGCATTTAGTGAATCACTATTTAAAGAATTTTCCTTTGATTATATGCAATGTAATACTGGCAAAAACATTTAATGCAATGTTATAGTGGCAAAAACCTAGAATAATCCTATACCAATTTAAACAGATATCAGTAAAAATACAAATCATTTTAATATTTAGAATTTCAAAATGAAATGAAATCCATACACTGATTTATAATCAGCATTCATCAGGTCGAATCCATTGACTTATTCCTCGAGTCGTTCATTCAGTAAGTAGCTAATTAACCTTACTAGCTAATTTATCTACATTTAATTTTGATTCGTTTTTTCCTTATTTTATCTTTTTGTTGATCCACTCTGATTCTTCGATTTCGCCGATCCTTTCACCTATTTCAAAATATGTTATTTCTCTGATTCATTGATTTACTTTGCTGATGATGCGTTTATGTATTGGTTAGCAGATTCGTCGATTCTTTTAATCATAATAAAGTAATATAAACGTAAATCTTTAAGCAAACATCATCAAAATCCAACCATTGTGAATAACATAATCTTAAGCTAAAAGGAAGAACTAATTTCGATCCTAGACATATTAATTAATTTAAAAAGAAACTCTACTAAATCGGCATTAAATGCAGTAAAAATGCCAATTCAGTATTTTGCTTCAGAAATAGTTATATTTCGGAAACAATTTTCCCTTTTAGTACAATTAATTACATCTTACATGCAGGACAGTGTCCTTTTCATATAAAAAGCCTCGCTACATAAAATTCGAATGTATTCTAAATTTTTAATATTGTTAATTGCGACGTAATACTTCAAAATCACATCCAACTTCTTTTAGCTGCTAATTTAAGCAAGAATGAATATTTGGTCTCTGATTCAATTGTTTCCTGATTCATTTATTCATTTTTTTAATCTATTGATAAAAAAATATTCAAAAGTAAACAGTTAAGCTTACATCAATAAAAAAAATATTTAGAATTGTATAATTCGAAATAAAATTAAGAACCATTTTAGATCTCAGACATATTATTTAAGTTAACAAGAAATTCTATTTAAATTTAATATGCGTTAAACACAGTAAAAAATCAAATTCAATATTTTTTACGAGATAGTTTTATTTTTGAAACAATTTCACCTTTTAATATGTACTGATTTCATTTTACATACCAGAAAATGTCTTTTTTTAGTATAAAAAGCATAGTTTAATGAAATTTGATTGTGTTCTGAACTTTTACTAGTGTAAATTTCGAAGCCATACTTCGTAATTATAGTTCAATTCTTTCAGCTGCCAATTTAAGCATGAATGAAGCTTCGAGTCTCTGATTCATTTATTCCCTGATTCATTAATTCGTTTCATATATTGATAAAATACTATTCAAAATTAAACATTTAAACTCACATCAACAAAACAATAATTATTTAGAATTGTTTTATTTCGAAACAAAATTAAGATCCAATTAAGATCCTTGTATTATTAACTACATTGACAAAAAATTTCATCAAACACAATAAAAAAATTAACAAACTCATTATTAGGAAAAATTTACATTTTAAAAACAATTTCTTCGTTTTGGTGCAAATTGATTGCATCTTGCTTATCGGAGCGTCTTGCTTTGTTAATATATATTATGAAATACTTCTTTCACGAAATTAGATGGTATTCTGAATTCTTAATTGTGTAAATTGCGACCTCATACATTGTAATTATAATTAACTCCTTTTACCTGCCAATTTAAGGAAAAATGCAAGAACAAATTTGAGTGTCTTCCTGATTCATTTATTCATTAATATATTTGTTTATTGATAAAATACTATTCGAAAATAAATATTTAAACTAATGTCGCAACAAAAAAATATTATAATTTAGAATTGTATCATTTCGAAAC